GCCGGGAGGTTCAGTCCTGGGAGCACGCGCGGGGCCAGCGCGGCCGTGGTGGCTTTTCCGAGCAAGGGATTAATTAGGCAGCAGAGGATAGAGAAGCAAAGGGGCGTCTGCACACACGCGCACGCTTAGCTATTTGTGCACACGATTACCAGAATTGTGCTTGCACATTGGGGGCAAATATTCTCCTTTCCACTCCTTGAGCAGCTGCCTCGTGCCAGTTTCCAAGGTTTTGACTATTGATTAACTCATATTTGGGCAGAAGTGGCTCGTGCTTTGTATTCAGCGTTGGCCATTACAGCAACGCTCATGCCGCTCCTTTACCGTAGGAGGAGCTCTCGCAGGCAGCCCAAGATGTTAAAATACTTGCTTTTATTCCAGCATCTTGTTGCTTTTAGAATTTTTTTTCTTGCAGAAACTCTGCTTCCTCCCATCCCTTTGCAAAGGCCGATGTTAAAAATAGAGCCCAACTATGCAGCCAAAATACGCGGCCTTAGACTAACGCTGTTTTCTAATGTCAGCAGGCCAAGTTTAAGCCACAAACAGTGCACACAGGAGATGGAAACCAGGGCATGGAGACATGTGATTGCCATAGCCGCTCGGGGAGCGATCGCCTAAAAGGCTTCGGGCTCCGGCCTCGCTGCTCACCCGAAGGCCGGATGGTGGGAAGATGCCGGGATCACGGCAGGGCTGCTGCGGGTGCAGGGCTGCGGCTCCCTGCCAGCGCGGCTCTGCAAAGCCGTGCTAATACCCAGCAGCAAGCAAGTAGCACGAGTTGTAGCTGCAGAGCTGAGCTGCCTTTTCCCCCCCCCCCCAGCCGCTGGCCCTTGGCACGGCAAGGCGAGATGCTTGAGTGGCTGCCGGCCAGGCTGCTCCTCCTCCAAACACAGCGCCTGGGACGGGAGGATCGCCTGCAGCTGGGACATCACACGGAGGTCTCCCAAAACGCTGCCAGGGTGTCCCAGCAGTGCAAGGTACTCGAGTCTTGTTGTCTCCCTCAGCCCTGGGACCACACAAATACAGACTATTCCCTTTGCCCCCAAACAGCTCAGGCCTTATTTTGTTCAACTGTCCTTTAAAAATGGGCTCAATCTCTGCACTCTTCATGCAGCATTGCAGAGAGCATCGAGGGGGCAGAAATCACGCTGGCCGATGCTGAGCTGGAGCCCATCGCAGCGGGCAGCCGGTTCTTCCAAGCAGCCCCGCTCCCCCTCTGAGCTCCCGAACGGGGCCGGAGGCTTGCTCAGCCCCCCACCACTCTGTGGGCACGAGCATTGAGCCAGCCGGCCTTGTTCTCCCCTCCTTTCATTCATGGCAGAATTTGCAGCATTTTTGAGCTTCTCAAGTTGGAGCCCTGCCCAGGCTTAAAGTGTTTGAAGCAGGGAGGAAAAAAACAGCCCTTTGCTTTTAGTTTAAGAAGCAAATAATGATTTGGAGAAATGCCAGAAAATGCCAGACTCTGCGTGCTGGCAGGGAGCAGCGATGCGGCGGGATTCCTGAGCCAGCCACCCTGCACCGTCACCCTCTGCTGCACCTTCACCCCTTGCACGGCCTTCGCTTCCCTCTGAATTTTTAGCACCATCTGGTGGCAGCAAGACTTGCAAATTTGCTGTCTTTCCTGCCGGAACAGATCTGTCTTGCATGCATGGCTCGTGTCCGAGCCTCTTCTCAGCACGGGTTATGTCAGTCACCTGCTGGCCGCTGCTGAGGTCCCCAGTTGCTCCTCGGAGGAGACCTGGGATGTGCCTACGTGTGTGCGCATCCCTGCGGCACACTCTTGATCGGGCACTTGACCAGGCTCCGAAATGCTTTGCAGGACAAAGATCTCCCATCGCATCTGTGTCCAAGCACTGGGGCAAAACTAAGCTGAATGGGTGCATGGGTGCCTCAGCAGTCTGTGGCCACGTACATGTCCCACCAGTGAGAGCTGCCAGGGCTCTGCATGACCCCGGTCGAGAAATAGGTTCCTCCAGGCCACATTCACCTTACCTATTTTTCGGTGTCCTCCTCGGGCTGGGATGTTACGTACACTAGAAATACACATCTCTGCACCAAGCAGAAAGGGCATCCAGGCAATGAGCCTCGACAGAGATGTTTATATTTCAGCCCTTTGAAACAAGAGCGCTGGGTCTCACGGGGGTGTGAACCCCACGGTTGAGGCTCCCAGCTCAGGGAGCTTCTGGGGCTGCCCAGGCCCACAGCTCTTCCTGGCATCCTCATGGGGCTCTGCAGCCAACTGCAGACCACCTGGAGCCCTCAGAGTCACCACGAGCAGCAGCTACTGGCAGAATTTATTTGCCTTTCCTACATTTGAAGTTTTATTTTAAAAGAGGATACAAAATTCCTTTAGGAACCTGTAGCTCACCACAACCCAGCTATACTTGAAACAGCCACAAGGTGGTGGCAAAGACAAGCAGATGGAGCAGAGCAGCCAATTAGGCTGGGCTCCGGCTCAGGGATGTGCTGGGCAGAGAGAGCTGCTGCTGCGGAGGCTTTAGTTGACTGGGAAGAGGGGAATGACAGAGACCCCCCCCCCAGAGGGTTTAGTGCACACTTGGGTGAATAGAGACGACAGAGATAGAAAGCTAGTTATATCTGTGTGGTTGCAAAAGGGTTGCAGAAGAGGAATTTATTGCAAGTTATTGCATTCGTGGCATGGAGGGAAGGACAGAGTGAGTATTGAGCAGATCAGAGACTCCACCACTACACAGACCAGTGCAACGCCTTGCAAGGACTCAAGGACAAGTGTCAGCAACCATGCCAATGTACGGGAGCATGAGGAGGGCTGCACGTGGCATGCAGATGGATGCACACACATTTATTGATAAATACACCAAATACACACTATAAGTTAATCAAGCAGAGCCAGAAATGGACACAAACTGCAAACCTTCACTTTGGGTATGGCGAGTGGCAGGTGAACTCCCACCCTACTGGCTAACTGAAGATGTAAACCCTGAATGATGCCTTTGCTAACACGTTGCTTTTCAACCAAGTACAGCCAAGAACAAGAGTTCTCCAAAACTCATTGCATTTTCCCTCAGCCACCTCCCCATGTCCTCACCAACAGGAGCTACGGGCTCTTTTCAGAGATGTGCATTCCTTGGAGCCACGTCTGAGGGCAAACCAGAAGAAGGGAGCCATTTGGCAAGAGTTGGTCTGTAGGTGATTATGCAAGAAGGGTGGTGCAAGGAGGTTACCCTCAGGAGAGCGAACGGAGCACACGGCTGTAAATGAAGCTGAGTCTCTCACACAGTGTGGAGAAAGTGGGACGTTCCTCAGTGTTGCGGTTCCAGCACTCCAGCATGATGACATAGATCTCGGGAGGGCAGGTGCTTGGCCGGGGAAGACGGTAGCCCCTGGTGATTTGCCGTATGGTTTCTTGGTTTGTCATTCCTGCAAGAAGAGAGAAGCGTCTCCTAACTCTTCATACCACTGACCCATCCCCAAAGGATGCCCTGCCAGCATATCTGGAAAGGGCCAGAATGTCAGCCAGCGTTGACATGAGAGGCATCTCTCTGCCATGAGGCTGGTACAGAAGAGGTGGCCGGAGGTCAGCCAGCCCTCTGCGCTCCCACCAGCCCCTTCTGCAAGCAGTGAAAAATCACTCTGGGCAGTTACAGAAGCAAATTCTAGGGTGGACAGTAATTTTCTCATGCTCCAGAAGCTGCTTCTGCATCAGTTACAGATGGGGAGGAGACAACACGACAAGGCTTTTGTGACATGCTGGATCTCAGCACATCAGGGAGCCACCAGCAAGCTACCTGGTGTAAGGATGGGAGCAGTGGAGGAGGTGGCACAGCAGCCTCCCCAGCCCGCTCAGGAAGGTGGGGAGACCCATCAGCCCTACCTTCGTATGGGATTTGCCCATATGTGAAGACTTCGTAGAGCAGAATCCCGTAGGACCAAACATCAGACTTCGAGGAGTAGGTGCGGTAGTTCGCTGCCTCTGGGGCTGTCCACTTCACTGGGATTTTGGTGCTGCTGCTGGTGGAATAAATATCATCCTGAAAAGAAATGGGAGATCGGTCTTGAGGGCTATGAACACAGACTCTTCCCCTGGAAAAGCCACAGCTGAAAGCTGAAGTGCCATGGTGGCTCTGAGGGCTCAGGCCCTCAGTAGGGTTCATGGCTATGGCATTCCAGCCCTGCATTACTGAGAAGGTCTGGTGGGGCTCTCTGAGGGGGAATCTAATTAGGGTAAGCACGTCTTGTGTCAGCGGAGACATGATCTGACCCAAACGGTGCTTTCCTGGCCCCTGTTCCCAGGACTGGGTCCCAGCGGGCATTTAGCCTTTCAATGCCAGCACACGCCAGAATGAGACTTGGTGGTGTGGAGCGAAGCATGGCCATGGCCCATGTGGGTAGCATGAAGCCATGTCTCAGTCGTTGCTCGCAGAGAGCAAATGGCTGCCCTGGTGCCTCGTTCCCAGGACTCAGAACCAGGGAGCAGGGAGGAGACAGTGAAGGGCTAGCTGTGCTCACTCAAAGGCAGCTCCAAAGCCATGACCTGCTGTCTGGGCCTTGCCCACAATGCAGGATGGGGAATGGGGAGCAGCCTGGGGAAAGCTGAAGCTGGACACGGTTCTCACTGGCGTACCGCAGCGATACGAGGCAGCTCTGTTTTGTTGGGTGACGGGAAGGACCTGCAGCTCCTCACTGACTGACCTTGAGGAGCCGGGCAAGTCCAAAATCAGCAATTTTGCAGGTGAGTTCATCTCCCACCAGGATGTTTCTGGCTGCCAAGTCCCGGTGAACAATGTGCTTCTCTTCCAGGTACCTCATCCCATCCGCCACTTGGAAGGCGATGTTGACCAGGTGGGAGGTGCCCAGGGACTTCCCTTCAGGACCTGTTAACCCAGGAGATCTACGCGGTTAAGGCAATCTAGCAATAGCTATTTTAGGTGCTCTAGTGCCTTCTGGTTTGGAAAGACAGCCGGTGCTGGCAATATGGGGAAAACTGTTGCGGAGGAATATGCAAAACCTGTGTTATGTGTCTCCACTGCACTGAACTAAACTTGAATTTGAGGTCTTTCCTAACGGTCTTTACTGTGACGTGTGTGAAATTCAGTGTGCCCCAAGTGCTTCTCAGGAAAGCACTCGGATGAACTTTGAGAAGTATCCTGTGTTGCAGTGAGGAAGCAGACATCCTTAACTACTGCAAAGCTAAAGGTGACCTTCTACCACGCCTAGGTCCAGCCTGGCAGCCAGGCCTCTCAACCTGTCCTACCTGTTTGCTCCTGCTCCTCCAACACCAAATACTGCTGGAGCCCTAACCAAAAATGAGGTCAAGTTACTTACTATGGGGGAAGAGGGGGGTTGTATCCGGAAGAAAACAGGGTCTTAGTGTTTGTCTTGTTTCCCTTTAAGATAGATTGATTAGTAGGTCAGGCATGAAAGAAAAGAAAGAAGCAGAAAAACAAATACCATAGGCATGTTCCTCTTTGCACTGTTACAGGGCTGACTCACCAGGCAGTGAGTGGAGGCCTACCCTGTTATCAGTTCTGCACCTGAATAAAAATATGTTGCAAGATCCGGCAATATCATTCAGAACAAAGACAGCATTCCCCAAACAAGCCAAAAGCCTTCATCCCAACTTCTTCACCGGCAAGTGGGCTGTCAGCTCTCATGAGCACAGCTGGGCTCTGAAGTGGCTGATACGAACTTAACGTGGCCCGCCAAAGACCATCTCCACCAAGCTCCTATGGCTTGCTCTGCATTAGCACTGGCCTAAACAAGACTGAAGCCAGGCTCACGCTCTCTTAGGGGCTTCATCTAGGTTCATAGGGCCAGTCTGGGGTACGGAAAGCCCCTGCCGAGCATGGGCACTGAGACAGAAATATTGCCTCTGCAGGACCTCTCCGAGCTCCCTCCTGGTGCTTGCAGGGTGGTACTCACTGTTGAGGTAGCTGTGGAGGTTGCCTTTCCGCATGAGTTCGGTGATGATGTATACCGGCTCGTCCACTGAGCACACGGCGTGGAGCTGGATCAGTTTCTCGTGCCTCAGGCGCTTCAGGTTCTGAATCTCCTTGGTGAAATCTTCTGCCTTCATGTCAGCTGGGGAAGAAAGCCGGCACAGCCTTTGTGGGCGACTTTCTCACCCAGATAATGGGAGCTCAGCATCTCCCATCTGGGATAAGGACCTCTTTCCTCCCCACAGGCCACCCCTATTTTCAAGGATTAGATCTGCTTCTCAGATCCAAACACCAAAGAGAGGTTTTCCACAGGGCTTTGGATGCCACTTTCAGCATCACAGTCTCATCAGGGACAACGCACCCCTTTATCAGAAGCCCACTGAACAGAGCCATGTTATTAAGGCGCCAGTCCAGGTTTAGGTGAGTCCATGCAAATAGTCCAGTAGCTATTTGTCAGATCCTACCGCAATTTGCTTAATAAGATGGTGACAAAGAGAATTATGAAACCAAAGGGGGTGACGCAGCAGTGAATAAGAGACCACGCAGGCCATCATTCCTCCTCCTCCTCCACACACCTTTTATGATCTTGATGGCCACCGGCACCGTGTTTCTCCACAGTCCTTCCCACACCTCTCCAAAGTAGCCTTCGCCCAGCTTTCTCCTCAGGGTGAATTCCCAGCGCGGGCGCTCCCATCCATCTCTCTCGGGTGGTGTCTGTGTGAAACGAGCACCACACACTCAGACCATCCAGCTAGTCAGTACTTGACTGTGAGACCCTGGACAAGCTTTTGGCGTCTGCCAAGGCCCAGGTGTCACGGAGGAGTGACCAGAGCATGGTGCTCCACCACTTGAGTTGCACTTGTGTTGCCAGGTGTGCACCTCCTTTCCCTCAGCTAAATTTTTCATTCAGGACACAAAAGCTGTGGGGAACCCTCTGCAGTAGCCTCTTCCTTGGAAACATCTCAGAGCCAAAAGTGCACAGAAGAAGAGCTTTCGGGCTGCATAAAATATTAGGAATTTGAGCAGCCTTAGCTTTTTCTCGGGGAAAAATTTGGACCGTATAAGAAGCATAAAGGCAAAGCAAATGTTCCTGCAACGGAGCTTTTGCTTGAAAGCCACCCACCCAAGAGAGGCCATTTCGTCTGCCTCTGCAAGCCAGGTAGGTAGTGGATGTGCAGCCAGGGCTTGGGAAGTGGAAGCTGCACTGCCCGGGGAGGCTGGTTAAAACTTGGCTTTGCCATTTAGGAGAGATTCAAGTCATAATTCATTCCAAATCAGCCCCCAAAGATAGCTTTTCTCTATTTCCTGTAGACACTTAAAAAAAAAAAGTAGATAAATACTATTGCAGATTATGACTGATTTAAACTTCAACTCTTTAAGCATTTCTTATGCCTTTCAATTTCACTTTTGAATTATTCACATGTTTAATTATTATTTCTAAGTCATATTTGGTGAATGGAATTCTAATCAGGAAGTGAGTTGGTAATGTGGGATTAATACTCTAATTGGCTTTATGTGTGCTACAGTAATTAGCATAAAAAGCGTAGAAAAGCAATGTGTTCTTATTACACTCTAGGATAAATTTGGAAGCTCAGGTATTTCCAGAGTTAGCGTTGAGGGGATCTGTAACAAAAGGATTTCCAGTCTTTGATACGGAGGAGACATTTCAGAAAAGCCCATGCATTTTGGCCAGAAGAGGACAACCGGACAGAAAGCCAGGAGCAGAGAGTTGCCCCAACCCTTGAAATACCATGCCCAGCTGTAGCACGGCTGATGAAAGGAAAAGCTGGCAGTTTTACTAACAGATGGCTAGACTAATTAGATTCCCATTTCTTGTAAAATATATAAAATGATTTTCATCTTCCTTTAGGACAGAGTCCGTACTCACCCTCCCTTTTTTTAAAGGGAGCCCCGAAGCACGACTAATTTTGCATTTCGCACTTTCCCTCATTTCGCTTTAACAGGGCATCGTTTAAGAAGAAAAGAAAAGGAAAAAAAAAAAGAAAAAAAATTGCATCGTGCCAGTCATCTGCCAGTTTAAATGTGCAAGAGAATCCGCGCGGCTAAACGAAGCCAAGGGAGCTGGAGGAGAGGAGCGAGCGAGCGGGCGCCGCCGGGGGCAGCGGGAGCCCTAGGCGCACCCACCGCGCCCCTCCTGGATGTGCAGGCTCCCGCCGGGGCTCTTGCAGATGCGGAAATGGCTGACTTTGGCGTGGTTGCGCACTGCCGAGAGGAGCAGAACGGAGACAGCTCAGAGCTTCCCTCCGTCCTCCCTAACGCTGCTGCCGTCGCACTTCCAATTGCATTTATCCCCAAGCAAATCTTTGGCGTATTATACCCCCCTCCTCCTTTTTCTCCCAGCCCCTGGCTCAGAAGACCCTGGACAGCAGGTGGCTTTTCCAGCTAACGCACAAGGCTGGACTAATTTGGCCTGGAGAGGCAGCACTTCGTTAGGGGAGATAACTCAGCACTGAAACAAGCTGCTCGGAGACGGGCTGAGCTCTCGGCCGCTCGAGGTGGGTAAGGCAGGAGCCGCTGCCTCCCCGAGAGGTGCGTCGTAGCTCGGGGCGGGGGGATTTACGGGCCGGGAGCAGGATTTACTGTGAATTTCTCCGGCCCGTTGGCACTCAGATCAGGTTAGATGGTAACGGCGTTGTCTGCTCTGCAAAGCCAAGACTTCAGAGCGGGGCAAGCGAGAGCAGCTCGGACCCTGACAACGGGGAGCAGCAGCATGTTTTTAGACAATCTGCAGCTGACAAAAACTGGAAGGAAATCCTGGGAGTCGGTGCTACAAAACTGTCGCTAAGTCGCTCCCAACTCTTTACGGCCTTCATGGGCCGCGTGCGAGCCACGCGCTTTCCTCCACCCCAGCAGCTCGGCGATCCCCAGCTGCATGCAACAGCATCTCTTAGCCTTCCCCGGGCTTCTAGAAAGCAGTTAGTTCATTTTAACAAGATGCTGTAAAAGCCTTTATAACACAGGTCCATGTTTTTTCCGTCTCATGCCAGCCGAGCCCGGAGCTGCTCCTAAGGCATCGTCCGGTTCCTTTTCCTTGGCTCGTTTTTCTCTAGGTAAATGGCACCAAATTACCTGAGAGGGAGTATTCGCCCTTGCTGCTCTCGCTGTCTCGCACGAGGAAGGAGCCGTGCTGGTTGGGAGGCGACAGGAGGAGCTGCTCGGCTTCGTTTCGGCTGATCTTGCTGAAATACCAGCTGTGAAGGGAGAGCAGAGGCCGGTCAGAGCTGGCGCGTCCCGGGACGGGTCGTGGCCACGGGGGCGACCCGCGCGATGTGGGGAAGGGGTAAGATGCAACAACACCCAGGGCAAAATGCGCTGGAGCTGCGGTGCCGGCATCCCCGCGTGGGGCTGCACCGCGCTGGAGCCTGTTGCCAGCCCCGGTGCTCGGGGACGGTGCGTTCATTGGGTTTTGCCTGCACTTGTGGCCTCCTATTGCAACTTGCTAAGTGCAAACTGTTGCCTCGCTTTTTCTAACTCTTGGCAGAAAGCACCGTTCACCCCCCTGCAGATGCAGCTGGTATTTCCAGCTCCTCTGCCGCAAGTCCTTCGCTGGTGCACGGGCTGCAGCAGCTCCTCCGCGGTGCTGCTTGCTGCTGGCAGGGCGTCCCCACGTTTGAGAGCGCGAGGAGGATGTGCGCTCAGGCTGAGGAGGGCAGCACCGCCGTTAGACGCGAGCGACCACAGCTGGGACACGTCCGACTCTGCGCTAAGACCTTCTCCATCTGCCCCTCTGCAAACCGCTGGGCTGTTTCAAGTCTCTGGAGCAGGATCAAGGACCGTCATTTGCCATCAACCAACCATGTGCAGAGGAGCCCTGGGGCTCTTGAAGCCACTGCTGTAGGTGATGGAGTCCATGTCCACCACCGGAGGACAAACTAAAGGAGCCGGGCTGCCCGCCTGGGCAGGGAAGGGCAGATGGGGCGCAGGGAGAGGCTCCCCAAGGCAGAGGCAAGGCACAGTCACCGTTGACTCAAGCTGGCCATGTCTCAGCCCATCCTGGAGCTGCTCCCGTGAGCACCGAGCATGTTGGCACCGCTTTGCAGCGCCGCAGGAGTGGGGAGCAGCAGCACTCGCCCGAGACGGCCCCCGGCCCCCGGCCCGAGCCGTGTCGGCCAGCGGCAGGCCGCGGCGCCCC